CTGGTCTACAAAGTTCCAAAACAGCCAGGGCTACAGAGAGAGAAGAAATTCTGTCTTGAAAAACAGGAAAGAAAAACAAAACAAAAAAAGCAGCAGCAGCAATCCTCTAAGTTCTGAGAAGACTATGGCTAACTCCCCAAAGCACACACACGAGCGCACACACATTCTGTGTGTATGTCCTTAAAAAAAATCAGAAACAAGGATCCAAGGGTATTCCTCTGGAGTCCCCCTCCCCACTCTCAAGAGTTCTTAACAAATACCTTAGAAGCAAACTAGGCAGAGTGAAACATGCCTTTAATCATAGTACTCAAAAGACAAAGGCAGGTATATCTGCCTGGTCTACTTAAACTCCAAGCCAGCCAGGGATGCATGAGTCTCTAACCACTCCCCACCCCAATAGACTGGAGGGAAACATGGTAGTGCAGGCTTGCACCCATTTGCCCAGGCAGCCTAAGACAGTAAGTAAGGTTCCAGTTGCCCAGGCCCAGGCCAGCAGAAGCTAAATCACAGCAAGACTATCTCACACAAGAAGGAGTGGGGAAGAAGGAAAGCTGAGACTGGCTGGAGCGAGATAAAGGTTATGAGCACATTCAGCTCTAATGGAGGACTCAGACTCAGTTCCCAACACCCACCCACATCTAGCAGCTCACCTACTCCAACTCCAGGGGATCTCTAACCCTTCTTCAGGTCATACACATACATATACACTACACATAAAATCTTTAAAACAAAAAATGAGACAGAGAGAGGAAGATCACTGCAACCTTGAGGTCAGCTTGGTTCACATCACAAATTTCAAGTTAGCCAGGGCTATACAACGAGGCTGTTTCAAGAAAGAAAATGTACATAGTGGGCTGGATATGAGATAGTTCAACTGTTCAAAGTGCTTCCCACCTACACATGAGGACTTGAATTTGAATCTCCAGAACCCTCATTAAAAAACCAGGAGCTGTGGTGCCTGTCATAATCTTGGTGGAGATAGAAGAATCCCAAAAGCTCCTGGGTCACCTGGTCTGGCAAAAAAACAAAAACAAAAACAAAAAAACCACCACCAACAAAACAAAAAACTGTGAGCCAAAGAACATGGGCCAGTGAGACAGCTCAATGGGAAAATGTTCTTTCAATCATGCCTGATAACCTGAGTTCAATCCCCAGAACCGCTGGGTGAGTGAGAACTAACTCTTTCCTACACATTGTCTTCTGGCTTCCAAACCTGCATATATACACATATACATAAATGTAACAAAAACTGTGAGCCAACAGAAAAGCACTATTGGACTTTCTATATATAAAATCTTAACATAATAATTCAATGAGAGTGTAGTTTGGCAGATGATTGCCCAGTATATGCTAGATCCCCCAAGTACCACACCCAGAACCATAAAACAAAACAACCTCATTTGGATGTCACTTTGAAACAGAAAATTTATTCAAGGGTCGTTTAAAAAGTGTTTCAGCTAATTTTTCCCCCTTGACACAGGATCTTATGTACCAAGGCTAACTATGAGTTGAAGCTGGCTTTGAACTCCTGATCCTCTTGCCTGAGCCTCAGGTACAGGCCTGAGTCACTAGGCCCAGCTTTTTAGCTAATTATTTTGTATAAACAAAAAGTTCTGTTCTTGGGGCTCAGGCCCATGTACTGCATTTGCAGAAGACCCAGTTTCAATTCCCAGCACCCATGTGGGACCACTCACAACTGCTCCTAGTAACTCCAGTTCCAGGGAATTCAACGCCCCTTTCGAGCCTCATCAGGCACCCAGCGCACATGGTGCACATACAACAAGGCACATTTACATACACATAAAATTTAAAATTTTTTAAGTTTTTTTGTTTTTTGTTTTTTGTTTTTCAAGACAGGGTTTCTCTGTGCAGCTTTGCGCCTTTCCTGGAACTCACTTGGTAGCCCAGGCTGGCCTCGAACTCACAGAGATCTGCCACGGGAGG